ATAAGGGTGAAGCCTAGGTCACATTCTTCAGCTGGTGTATGTTAACAGACGGGGCAACAGCCCAAGAGTTAGCTTCCATTTAAAATTCAGGGCTGAGGATCTTGTACTGTCAGGGTCTTCGGACTTTAACAGAATTTATCCTGCAAAAAGAACCAGAATTCATATAATTCTGAAATGTGATTAATGCAAATAACAGTGTATGAGTGTTGCTGACTTTCAAATCTGAAGTTGTATAAAAATATGTATCTTGCACATATGTACAGTGCTTTTTTTCCTCTAGTATTCTGAACACCACCAATTTTCAGATTCCTGATGCTATTTGTCCTATTCATATGCATATGCGAGTAATTTTAAATAAGGTGACATTGCCAGTAAACAAATATCCCAAATTACTCTTTTGAAAGGAAATTACTGTTTTAAAAGGAATATGAATTACACTTATTCCATAGTTCACAATTAGTGGTGAAGGTTGGACAGACCAGCACAGTCAGAAGTTTTTTTTAGTGGCTTAAATGTTTCACTTAAAAAACTGAAATTAATGATAGGGCATTGTTTTTTTTATTTTAATAGCAAAGTCCATTGGATGTTGCTTTGTGCCTGTATGAGTCTTCTGTTTGACAAAACACCATAGACCAAAAAAAGACTAGGTGCATGCTATTGTTAATTTTTGTATGTTATATTAACTTGCCTTTCAAAAAAGGCTCTTCGGATATTTTCAAATGTTTGATGACTAAGCACTCATGAGGTGATTCATGATTCATCGGCAGCTTGGTGCCTGAACCTCAGGTTTTTATTGTGACCATCAAAGGAGGGAGACATGCTGGTATATTGTAATAATTATGACGCAACTTATTTTAAAGACAGGCTGTTCTTTGTTTGTAGTTCCCACAATATTTGGTAAATCAGAAGGCTGAGCTGAGGAAGAATGAATAGTGCATTAAATTCTCAGTACCTTAGTTTTTTGTACAGGCCTTGTTGCTGAGGTCTGGGCAGATTTTATGGTACAAATATAGAAGCATTCTCGAAGTACCTGGAAAATACAATGCAGTAAATTGATCTATGTTCTGCTTCAATTAAATTCATAACTAAACTAAGTTCAATTTTCTTTTTGCTCAGAGAAATATAAAATGGATTAATGATTTACCATATTTAGTGATATTTTTTAAATGGGCTTTCTTTTTTTTTTCTTGCTGTATGATGTTTTACTAAACCAAAGAAGCCCGAAGCATATTTATTTGTTCCATTCTACTCATTATGTCCTTAAGATTGTTTTGTGGTGAGATTATATTTTATTTGTATTTCCGTCAAAGGAAAAGTGCAGTGTTTGTGCAACTGTGTGGCTGATGTTATTGTAGCATTTTTTTAGTTCTGGGTTGAGCAGGCAAACAAAAACAGTAACCCCTTTCCTCTGGACTTGCCAGCTTCAGCTGTGTTAAAATTCTGGTTCACAGTTTTAGCCAGTAAATTTTCTGTGTAGCGCAGGGCTGTTCTTTATACCAGACACGTGATTTTCATCCTCACCACCCCTATATTCATTAGCCCCTGCCTTTGGCCTGAGTACCCCTGGTCTGGCAGGTCATTGCCTGGTTTTGGGCAGAGACAGTCCACTCGCTGTGAAAACTACCACAAAGGAAATAGGAAGGAAAAAGAAATACTCATTTTTTTAACTCCCTTGCAGTTGACAGTGGATCCAATTGTTGTGTGAGCTGAAATTGCCATCCACATTAAATGCCCAGCATTTGATAAAACAGTATATCAATGTTACTGTAAATCTTACTGTAAATGTTACAAAAACGAACTAAAAGAAATTGCGAATTCATTACAAGAGTATTATTGGTTGCAGTGGAAAGTGACCCTTGTGTTCTTACAAGGGTTGCGAAGAGAAGCTCAGAATCTGTAGCTGCTGCATAACCAGTGTGATGACTTTAAATGACTGCTCGGGAGTCACGTGCGTTTTTCCTTCGCTGCAGAAATAAGGAAGGCGTGCTCAGTGCGGACACGCAGGGCTTGCTGTTGTGAGATTGGCAGTCTGCCTGCTGGAGTGAAAGTGTGAAGAGAAGGAGGAGGAGAGAGTCAGATTTTACTGCCTTGGAATATTTATATATTTAGCTCTTTTCCCCAAACTGGCAGACCTTTTAGTTCTTATAGGTATAAGGGCATGCTCGAGAATGCTGTTCAAAGAAAACAATGTGAAAGCTAAAACCAGCATTTAGTTTAAGAACAAAAAAACACATCCACTGAAGTTCCCAAAAGCATTTCTGGTTAAAACCCACGTTATGCAACATACTTGTTTTTACGTATTTTGTCTGTAATTGGTAATGCAGTTTTGCAATCACTTTGGAAGCAGGCAAACTTTGTGGTTTTCCTCTTAGGACCACATAGTAAAACAAAGATCAGTCTTTCAGAACATTTTGAGTTACTAAGAAAAACTGAAATTATTTGCTGTTTTTTGTTTACTTGATTATTGTAAAATAATATATTACTTTATTAGTGTGACACTTAGAGATTGTTATTTTTCAGCTTCTGTATTAAGCACACTTAATTTTAATATACTGTTTTCTATATTTTAAATCTTAACCATTAGAATATTAAAAGTGAATTCAAAGGAATTTAAAGGTCATTTTTTTGTAAGTGAAACTAAGCTTTTTCCTACATGTACTTGTTTTTGGAGCACTTGACTTATGGCTGTCCTGTTGGACTGGAACAGTTCTAAACCCACATAAAGGCCGCTCTGTCTTGGATTCTAAGGGCTGTCTCATACATATACTGTCGGTTTTAAAACTGTTGGTTCTACTGCTGTCTTTTTAAAACATTGTGAAAAAATTTGGAAAAGCTATGATGTTTTAAGTTTCTAATACATTTTGATACAACACCAACAGTAGACTTAATTTCCATGAGTTGGTGTAACATACTGTAGCTTTCTGGTGGTGTTTTTCCATCTGTCAAATGTAATTCTTAGTTTTAGAATAGTTTGTTATAATATATTTGCATTTTGAAGGTGCGTGCTATTAACTTGGGTCTTTTCAGATACTGCATGAGTCGTTTTCTTTCTTAGGACATTTGTGTTTTAGTATCTGTAAGAGGCAGTGGAACTAATGCTTAAGTGCTTTTTGTTTTTTAGATATTATTCAAACCTTTGTTAAAGTTGCTCTTTTTGTAGGTTTCAGGAGCCTGTTCTGAGGAATGTTTTATTCGCTGGAAAGTCTGTTGAGGGCTAAAACACAATGTGTGTGCCAGGAGCACCTTGGCATAATGTCACGTACAGCAGAAGGGACAAATGAAATCTGAGGACCTGATGCTTTTGAGTGGTTTGTTTGTTGTTTAACTGGAATACCTGGACTCGAGGAGGGGTCTGGCACTGCTCCTTGTACGAGTGTGGTCTTGCTGGGCCCTGCATCGCCCGCTCGCTCCAGGCCGCCAGCCCCAGAGCAGAGCAGATCTTCTGTCACTGCCACTGCGGACTGTGGACCCGCAGCACTGATGGCACATTGCTGGCAGGGGCCCAGCTATGTGCTGAGGAGCAGAACGCCACAAAACCTCCTTGCTCTGGGACCAATTAAACACCCCGAAACAAGTCGAATTATGGGGGTGGGGGGAATCTGGAGCTGCTGTAAAATGTTTTTGCAGCACAGTGGTACACTGTTGACTGTTAAGCCTGCGGTAGATTACCTTTAATTTCCTTTGAGTTTAACAAGGCTCAGGGCTGGAAATTGTTCCCCCCTATTATGATTCAGGCAACAGTGAGCACTTATGGTTCTCATACCACTGTTTCAAAACTGTTTGTTTTTAATCCATTGTACAAAACTCAGCATGAAAAAATATGGGAAGTCATAGATGATTTTTTTACCAAGTATTGTTTTTTTAACAAGGTTAATGTCGTACAATGGTACAGTAGTTCAAGTTTTTTATCTGGTATTTAACATCTGTTAGTGAAATGAACTTTTGATCTGTATTGTTGACAATTTCACTTAATCACTAATGCTCCTTTTCCATGAGAATATTTGCTTAAATTCTCACTGCTGTTTTATTTGTGAATTGTTTCTGTGTTGTGATATCACAGAATCAAATATTGACAAAGGGAAAAATTGTGTTTTGATGGCCTGAATGCTGTAGAAAGGGATCTAGCCATTGCCAGACAGCCTCTTATTCATCCTTAGGTTCCTGGGAAACTAGTGTATAAGGAAGGGACTACATCCTAGCCACACACAATAGCACACACAAGTATTCAGGGACAATTTATAGACACTCCTTCGTCTATCCAGCATGTCTTTGGGAGGTGAGAAAAATCAGAGCCCTTGGATATAATCCATGTGAATATAGGGAAATCATGCAAACTCCAAACAGAGGAAACCTGGATTCAAACAGAGATGGACCCCAGTACCCAAGAGCTGTGAAACAGCAGTGATCGCGGCCATGACACACCACTGCTGCAGGAAATACATCTCATAGAAGGGAATATATTTTAAATGTTGGATTAAAATTAAAACTTTTACTTGATAAACCTTGTGTGTGATGTTCAAAATGTCATATTCCAATATTCAATTTCATTTTAAACAATACATCTTGATGGTGACTGTTACTGAAGGACTTTGTTCGTTTTGCAGAAATTCAGTGCAGAACACTCAGTCTTTCTCATACTAGAGCGGGAACATATCCTTTTTCTGAGCTAGGGACTAGGAAATTCCCAAAGGATTATGCTATAGTCGAATGTCTCTTTTAGCAGTGAAACATATGAAATTTTAGAACTCCAGGGCAGCCTTGTAATTCTAGTACACATGTGGCCTGAATAAATTTCCTTTTTTTTCCCTCTCTTCCAGCACTAAAAATATGCCTTATTTGAGAAAAGAAGAGAAATCCTGTTCATGTGATAAAGTTAGTAAGAAGTGGCAGCTGTAAAAAGTGTGCAGATGTTAAAGTTTGTTTTTCTGGATCTCTGTGCTATTTCACAAAAGGTGAAGCCGAACGGTCTGTATTAATTCACGATTTCTGTGTCTCTGCAGGTGTATGTCGAGTTTGATGACCTTGAATGGGAGAAGCGCGAGTGGGTCAAAGTTTATGAAGATTTCCGAATATTCTTGTTGGAGCACCAGCTTGTGTGGGCAAAGCAGAAGGAGAACGGTCAGCTTCAGGGAACAAAGCATAAGCAGACGCAGTGGCCTGCCTTGGTGAGTCACCATACCCTCGCACATTTATTGTCCTGCTGATTGCTGACTGTTTTAAACAATAAAACAGCAAATGAAGACAACAGCTGCTAGTCAGATATCATCCGATTGGAGTGTGCATTTTTTTCCTGCTACTTTGTAAAGGTTATAAATATTTTATGGACAGTGAAGTTGTGGTTTTTTTTCTACAGATTACAGACTATTAACTGTGTAGCTAAGGAAATGTGGTCTGTGTTTTGATTATGTAACGTGCAGCACAGCGCCATCTGGCACAGGAATTAGCGATAAGAGTTCAAAGAAAGTACTAGTGACAGATCAAGCAGTTTGAAGGGAAGAGTGCACGTCTCACTGTCAAGGAAAAAAAACAGCATGTATGTGATGTCTTGCACTCAGAACGTTCTGTAGTCCTCGCGTTTCGATTTCTTATTCCTACTTTGGCAATATTTTTTTTTTTCCAGTTGCTAGTCCTTTTAATTGCATGCTACATATGCCTGATTGAAAAACGAAAGATTTGAAACTATGGAAACACAAACCCATTCAGCACTTTTAAAAGCAGATTGTTATGATCTTCTTTTCTGATGCTATAGGGGTTATTTCGTACATGAAGTAATGTGCAATGTTAATACTGCTTTGGGACCTCAAGGCAAGATATTGTCACACAGCGAGATGTTAAAGATTTAACCCATGGCTTTCTGTGTCATGTTTATCTTCAGTTTTTTATTGGCACTCCTTATGTCTTTAACCTCACTTGGTACAAAAGACATAAAAACTCTTAGTGTTTTTTGCCTTCTGCTAAAGCTTTTATAGCCTTAAAGCACAGGATGGTTGACTCCGTGTGCTGAGCTTGTTTCCTGACTGTGCCATTGTCTGGCTTTCGACGGCCTGTGTGCTCCAGCAGGGCCTTGGGGGGTGGGGGAATTCCTGCAGTTTTTTATGTTTGTCTGATGATAAGTTTGGAACCGTGAATGAGCAACATTGTACGATAAAAGCTCGTAATGTTATGAAACTTAAATCTTGTCTTAGACAGGTATTCTTTTAAAAAAGGGAAGGAGGTAGAATGTTTTAAAATAGCATGCTATTGGAAGTGAAATCTTTTGCATTTGGTGGTTTGTGTAAGTTAAATATGATCTTCATTTCTGTAGAAAGGTCAGTTGGTTGAAAGTAAACGTAAGCTCAACAGTGCTTCATTTTCAGAGCTCAGATTTCCCAGCATGTCATGTGGACCCTGACAGACCTCTTTTAAAACATGGAAAACATGAGGCAAATAGATCCTGCTAATCTAGGAGGAATCCTGGCTGCTGAATAGCTGAATTGAACATTCTTGACTTGGGTTTTATGTCCAGTGTCTCCTTTTGTTTTTTGTGTATATTTTTGTTCTGAACTCCATTATTTATAGCTGTAATTTCAGGGAGCCATACACCCTATTATTACTCCTGGATTCCCCCGAGTCAGCAAGGAGGCAAGTCTTTGTATTAGGTGGGGCGTGAGCTTTTATCTTTTCCCTCTGACGTACTCTTTGTGAAGAACTTGTGTGGCCCGAAACTGATCACAAGCATTGTTTGTGTCCTCCTGTTTGTTACAATTCGGACCTTGACTAAACTTGTAACTTTTTTTTTTGTACTTGAGTACAAGTTAAAATGTGTTCTAAGTGAATAGGATTGAAGGCTGTTGGCTGTTGTCATATTACAAACCCGTTTCTCTCTCATTAAGATGAGGGGGTTTTAAAACTCCTGCCAGAGTTATTCACCTTTCCACTGGTTTTCAGGCTTAAGAATCCAGTTCTGTTCAGAACATGCTGACATTGCAAATTAGTAGTGGTTTGGCTGCCCGTTGCTGTTCTACTCCTGTGTTCTCCATTCTTTATAGTCTAAATTCATGACCTTTGCTGTAGCCTAAATTTTGTCTGATGTTAATGTTTAGAAAACGTCTAGTATAAGATTAAGCTTTGGATTTGATTTATTAAAATGCAGTGTATAAATATTACAATCATTATTAGGGGTTGAGGATATGATGAGTACGGAGAAACAGTTTTGTAATGACCTTGGCTTGTGAAAATCAAACGGTAACATTTGACCTTGAAAGCTTATTCCTTTTTTTTTTTTGGAAAGGAAACCCAAGCATATTTTTCATTTGTTGCCTTTCAAGATCTCTGGAAGACATCCCGGTAAATTGTGAACACCAAGAGGCAATTTTCCTTCATTTTCTATTCCATTTTATTATCATATCAAAATTGAATCTGGGCTAAAGATTTGTTTGTATGGGAACTAGGAAGATGGGTGTTGATATCTGTGCAGTTTTAATGTTCAGAATAATAACCGGGGAAAAGTCATACTTTATACTGTAGTTCCCTTCAGTTCACACTTTAAAAACAGTCTCTTGCATGTTTGTGTTTTCAAAGTTTTTTTTTCAAGAACAGAATCTTATTGTGTATGTTATGGAAGAAGAGGAATATAAAGTTTGCGATAAGTTAAATATGACCAAATTGCCAGCCCTTAAAAGAGATGTGTTCTGTTTCATGTTGGTGGAACATCAAGAATTCTTAACACAAGACTTTTCATAGAACAGCCACAGAATGTTGTGATCTTTGTCTGAGGTCTTTGATCTAACATGCCTTCACATTTTTATAACTTGCCTAAAAAATAAATAACACCCTGCTCACAGAGCAGTATTTAGTATAGACGAGAGCAAATCATTTTGCTCATTAATTCAGAAAATAACTTTAAAAAGAAACACTGCTGGTTATTTTTTACATTTTAAAACGTCATTGTCATGACAGCTGATAACATAGGACATTTTACGTGATCTGAGAGATGACAAATATGCAAGTTAGTTTTTATTAACTGTCATATATAGGCAATTTTGACAGTGGTAAATTGTATGCTTTTTTGCAGTAGTAAATGTTAAATGCCTTTTCTGTGATTTAGAAAAGTCCAATTCATTTCTCTCCCTATCACATTGGACACTGATGCGCAGGGATTTTCGATATCCACTTCCTGTACTAAAACGTGGATCATGCCCTTTTCTAGAATTTTTTCTAGTTTTCAAAAAATGAAAAACAAGCAAAACTATTCAGAAATGAGTGCTCTTACTTTAAGAATCGCAATCACTGCAGTATTAATATTTGCAATGTTTGAGACTGAAAATGTTATATATATTTAGTGGTATTGTAGGTCTCTACACTGTCAGACCAGTGTATATCTGCTGCTGGTGACAGGCTGGTTAATTCATAGAGCCAAAGATCTGCAGTATTATCTCACAACACGAATCCAAACCAGACTTGGAAGTACTGAGCATGTTGTATTTAAAACATGTCACCTTCAGTTCAACCCAGTCACAAGGAGTTTGCAGCTGGTTAACATTGTACCTTGTTAAATAACAACTGCCACCTTGCAAATGCTTCTAAGTGAAGCTCATTCACACACTTTGAGTTTAAGTCTTTGGTTTGGTGTACACAACAAGGGGCCAGCTGGTCAGGTCTGTTTTTCTGCTGCTGTGGGAACCACTGTTGTGTGCTCTCCGCATGGGACAGGCAAAGACAGCTGTGTGCTTCTGTTTCCTTTTTTTAATTTCTTAGTTTCTCTTCTATCTAAAAACTCTTTCAGATTCCAGCTTGTAATGTGTCCTGAAATGTTGTTTTAAACTACTGCTGCAGTAAGAATTTTGCTCTCACCATGCAGAAAGAATTGTCTGTGGGAATAGAATACTCAAAAATGATTTTTAGTTCTCTGTAAGGCAATCATGTTTGGTCCATTGGCACTTCGAAAGATATGGTTTTACTGCATACCTGATGAATTCTGTCCTAAATAATTCTAGCGACCAAACATTCAGTTACCTGCACATCGCTAAGGATAAGTGTTTAATAGGAGCTGCATTTCACCCTATGTGTGGGCTGCACATTGTTTCCTTCTTTATTTAACAAATATCAAAACAAAATGTAAAAATTACAGCAGTTCTCTATTTGGGAAAATAGAGAAAAGAGCCTTTATTATTTCAGTTGCTTTCTAAATTAGGTGAATGTCATTATATAACACAGTTCTTTCTTGAAGTTGTAAGGAATAATCACTTGCACAGCAAGTCTGGTTTAATAATTTACTGGTTGAGTCCAAGTGACCCCAGCTCACCCTTAGCAAATCTAGTCTCTTCTAAAACCCAGGAAATGATTAACGTTGTTAGGTACTGCTGGCTCCTCCTTCTCCCAAGAGTCACTGTCTGAGCTGTCATTTAGACAAATAAAGGATAGACATTTACTGTTTTCAGCACACCCTCACAGTTTACACTGACTACAATAGCTTTTTGTTGGGGGGTTTAAATTGCTTCAGTCAGGCTGATGAAATACACTGGAATCTGATCTGTTTACCCTCAGAAAAGGATCTTCATATAAACATCAAATAAATATTGTGTGCAAAATAAATTTCAGTCATTTTCTAAAGGTTATGCTTTGAAATCTACTATGTATTAAACCCTGTAATGCAAAATTGTGGAAAGCACACGTTTTTACCTTATGACTGGAATATCTATGCAACTTAAAATCTGCTTTAGCTGTCAGTAAAACTGGAATATCACTTACTTGCAGCATTCATGTAATAATTCAGGTCTGTATGCTGTTGAGTTACTGCACTTTTACAGTAATATTGGTTTAATAACTTACAAAACAACAGACGCCCTTGTCTGTTGTTAGTCTTTTACCAGGCTGCAAGTACAGATTGAGCAGTGCCTTGTGTCTGTGGGGGCTAAATTTATTGCTTTTATGCGTTTGCTGATATGTTTTTAAAATACTGTATTAGACTGGTAAGCCCATAATTATTTGGTAGAGCTGCCTCTCTTTAGCCAGCTCCCCCCTGCCCTCTAGTTCCCAAGTTTTCAATCATCTGGTAAAGTGTGCTGATACTTAATGTTGCCCAAGCATGTGTGCAGCTGCCCGGGGGGGGGTTCTTGGAAATTGCCGAGTGTTTGAGAGAGAGTTGAGGAGGGGGGGGGTTATGCTGAGACTGGGAATATACAGA